ATAGATAGATAGATAGATAGATAGATAGATAGATAGATAGATAGATACTTTATGGATCCCCAAGGGGAAATTCATGAATTAGCCAGTGATATTTCTTCTGGTTAATATATTGTATTCATCAGTGGGCTTCATTAATATGTGGGTCACAGATTCAGATGCAAAACGTGCTGCTCCCTATCTATATGGTTCCCCCAGTAAAAAGGAATGAGATACAAAAGTGAGCTCTCAAAACAGCTTCTCTGATGTTTTAGCTTGAATCAAACAGCATGACTTCACTTCCCGTGGCTCCTTCCGCTTTCTGATCCGTGCAGCTGAGAAACCCCCCCCCCGTTCAAAACGTGAAAAGGTGAGAATGGGACGGTGGTGAAAGCAAAAACACACACGGGGATGAGAGCATGCTGCTTCCATTTCACCTCGCTCCGCCCAAAACCTCGCAGGAATGTGTGTGCGGGCATCGGAGAGGCTTCGGAGAGAAGCTCCGACTGTTAGAGCGCCGTGTCTCAACACGCAGAGACGCCCAGGCTAGGGTTGTCACGATACTAACATGTTCAAGTCCATACCGATACTCAGGAAAATACTGGATACTCGATACCATTTTTGATACCACAAGGATAAAGGAGAAAAACAAAGACCCCAAAATTTAACTGAATTGTGACAGGTTAGTGTCTTTGGTTTCAAACTTGGCCCACATTAATAACCCTAACCGTGACCCTAAACCTAAACAATAACCCTGACCCTAAACCTAACCCTAAACCTAACCCTAACCCTAACCCTGACCCTCCACCCTTCATAATTGTGAGAAATAAATATTTTTGGGTTAAACTCGTTTGGACTTATTGTACAAACCTATTTAACATACACTATTTTAACATAATATTATGTATAGAGTTGAATTCAGTGTTTGCAAGATTCATTTAACTATTTCTAAATTAATGTCTATATATATATTATATCCTAACAATTAGGATTTTCTTGCCTGGGATCTTCCTATTGGTGACCTAATCAAAATGGCCGACTAGGATGTGGGTGGAGTTGGATATCCATCCTTGGCTTCCTGCAGACTGCAGCCAGACGGACTTGATTAATGTTGGTGTGTTATTATTAGCCATTAGCCGCAGCTAGCAATTCAAAGCTAACGTCATGTTAATGATCATAAACAACGTAAATAAATAAATCTGAGAGAATTGGCGTGGGGGTGGTGGTATCGATCCTTTTGAAAATGAGTATCGTATCCAGATACAATGTTTTAGTGTATTTTGTATTTTGTTGAGTATCGATACTTTTGACAACCCTAGTCGGGACCCACAGAGAAACAAACAGTCCCAACAGGCACGGCCTCCGTTTGTTAGTGGCACACCGAACACCAGGCAGTCAGAGCCTCCGGACTCGTCTTTCTATAGAGACGCTGAGAAGTCTGTGGAGAGGATCTTGTGCCGAAATATCAAAAGGAAGTTTCGGATGTCGAGGTCTAGATTTGGGTGCGGCCCGATTATTGATCGCATCCTGGCTTCCAGCACAAGGGAACCCATCAGAAATCCTGACTTTTGGGTTAGTTTGAGGACAGCAGGACAGACTCCCCCATACCATGTCAGGCGGAAACAAAGGGATGAGAACTGTTGGTGCTGAAGCAAAAGAGGGGTGGCTTACTTGGGGGAGCTCCAGACAGGTTTATCTGAAACCCTAGAGGTGAAAAGACAGCTTTTATTCATAATTAGTCCTCATGGTGACTCCTATTGCCTTTGCTTTGAATTTATATGCTTTGTTTGCTCCCAACAAACCAAAAAGGGTAAGAAATAAGTCCCTCAAATTGATCTTGCTTTGCAGACTTCTCACACATTCTTCGATTTTTGGGGGGGTAATTATAACGTTTTTATGTGTTTATGTGACAGCTGAGAGCAATTTAGCATGGTGGAGTTGAATGAGGAGGTGAAAAAGACCTGCAGGTTTAAGAAAAGAAAAAAATAACAGGATGGAGGAGTGGGAATGATCGGTTTTGGCTAAAAGAAGAGGAAAAGCTTTTTTGTCGGACGGCTCACCATCATCAGCATCATGGCAGGAGTTAGGAATCATTAGTTAGCAGCATTAGGGTAAAAGATGGAGACACGATTACATTTCAAGGCACAAAATAGATTAAATAAAAGCAGAATGTAAAACGGAATTATCACTGTTTCAGAACTCTGTCGGGGTTAAACCAACCACTCCTTTCTCTACATTCTAGCCTGAGAAATGTTTAATAGATGCAGTGGTTCCTTCAAAATATGAGGCACAAACAGAGTTTGTAAAACTCTACTGAGCTTGGAAATCCTCTTTCTTATCTAGATGTTTCCCTGCTCCGAGGCCCCTGGTCTACACTGAATAGATCTCTTCAAAAGATTCAGTTCTTCACAAGTCTGCCGATGATGCAATGATTTGAGTTAGGGAAACATCTGAAACCTCCTCTAAGGACTCTCCAGGACCTTCTCAAAGCTCTTCTCTGCTCCTCTTTCTGAAGGACCTCAGATCCTCTTTATCTGCTGGGGTTCGTTTTTTAGGCCCAGCTCTTTTTCTTCTGTCCTCCACTTGTCCAGTTTCCTGAGATCTGCCCAGTTTCCAGCCAGCAGCTCTTCGGGAATCATCAGAAATCCTGTTTCCTGTCTGTAAAACTGAGTTTTCTTTGGTATTTTTCATACATGGGATCAAATGATGTGTCTCTGTGACAGGCTGCTGGAGCAAAGAGCTTAAAGATCCAGTTTTAAATGCTATTATATGGGCGAAATGCTGGCTCATCCCTTCAGTTACGTGGCTTCAATAATTTATACATCAGGAATAAAAAAGAACCATCCTCTGGACTGACAGTGAGTTTAAAAAGCTGTGGAAGGAAAAGTTTCAGATAGCCAAGACAAATATTGCTCAAAACAGCTGTAAAATTGTACAAGAAAGTCAAGAAACAAACAAAAAATGAAAAGAAATGAGAATGGGATCAAGACTTCTGCACAGCACTTCATTAGCTCAATAACAGTAACTGTACCACAAATAGTAAATTAATATCCAACTCAAATGTAATGGTTTATCCCAATATTAATAGAAAAACAATTAATTACATGAGACACTATAGACATTTATTACAAGCAAGTAATCACAAATCAGGGCCCCTGAGCCCTTCAAAAATTTTTTAATTGACTTGACTTTACTGATAAATGAAGTGTGTCGCTACCTGTTTCACTCTGACATCTCCAGCAGGTGTTGGCCTCTGAAAGTCAAAATGAAAGATATTTGTACGGAAATGCAGCAATTAAAGGATCGTTTCACTTAACCTGGACATATAGCTGTGACAGACACACTAATGAAATGCGGCAGATGTTCGTTAGAAAAATATCAAATTTAAAGATATGAATAGAGATGTTTTATTTAAATAGTATGTTACATTAAAAAATGCAACATCATTTCACGATTCTGCTCTTATAGATTCGGCATATTTAACTCTGGCATAATTTGAGAAGAAACGGTTTTATTCGTGTGATAAATCGTTTGAATGTCAAATCTGCTGCAATCCAAACGCACGAAGAATCGTTTCATCTTTGGATGGAATCTGGCTGCGTTCGGTAGCAACAAAATGACACCGAAAGCCATTTCCACTTGGTTAAATCGGTCAATAACAACCGAATAACCGTCAAAAGGGATATAAGGGAGGATAATGGGACGCCAGTTGGCTCCCGTGAGGATATATATCTCTTCCAGGGAGTAGTCGGCGCCTCCCACGGCTAGCCCCCGCTAACGTTAACCTTCAGTGCCGCAGAGCTCCGGGCTCCGGGCGGCCCCCTCCCTCCTTACCCTGCATGCCGCTCATGGTGGTGATGTGCTGGGACTGGGACTGGGGCTGGGTCGGGGTGTGGGTCTGGGTCTGGGTCTGCTGGAGGAGGTGGTGGTGCGTCCCCGGCCCGGAGCCGTTGTTGCCGCCCGGAGCCGTTGAGCCGTTGGGACCGGGGGCCGCCATTGTTGCGTGTTTGAATTCCATCAGCAGCGCCGGGCTGCAATGCAGAGAAGCGGGGAGCAACTTCACTCCTGCCCTCCCTACCCGGGGGAAAATTACAGCTCTCGCGAAGGGGGCAAACCCAACCCCGCAACAACAAGAAAAAAAACAAAAAACAAAAAAAACACAGGCACGCGCAGAAGGGCGACACACTTTGAACGCCTCGAATGATGATTAAACGTCTCAACGTGAGCTGTGTCAAAGGCCACCTATGTAACCACAAAAACAAAACATCCAGCTAGGCTAGGCTAACTAAACTGGCTAGTCGAGAAGCTTTGCGAGCCGCAATCAGCTGACCAAGTGACACTGACATGTCAACACCCACCACGTCCCGAACCGTGGCATGCTCGCGGAAGTTAGCCGGACGGGACCGGATGTTGTGAAGCGTTTCTTTCAAAATAAAACGGAAGCGGACGCTAGCTAGAAGTAGCTAGTAATTAAGCTAGTTGTTTTAGTCAGAAATCCCTTTTTTTTGGTTACAGAGACTGCTCTGATCATGGAGTTTGGTCATTTCAACATTTATCACATGTCAATTGAATAATTCTATGATCAATTAGTTTTAATCTAACCATATGTACTTTAAAAGCAAGTTTACCAAAGTAATTTAAGCTAATCTTATGGTAATTGTCTCAAAAGGTTTTAATGTATTCCTCATATACAGCTATAGACGATCTTTAATAAATAAAGGATGTTAGTTTCTGGGGAAAAACTTTAACGATAATGGATGCTGTTCAGTGATCAATATTGTCGATCTAAATTTAAAAGATAAAACCCCCACTTCGCAACTAAATAACTTTCTTTTCCAGTCTCACCTAAAGCTAAAGGAATAAGTTTGAAAGTGATGCTACTAATTTGTCCAATGTTGTTCCTTACACCAGATAAAAAACCGGGCACAGCACACTTAACACACAAAATATTTGTACATAATAGTTGTTGTTGCACATCTTTGCGTCCCTAACATTTTAACCCCACAAAATATTTAAATCTGATTATGGCAAATGATTCCTGAGAATGTTCTGGTCTTCTCTGACATGTTACATGACCTCCCTTCCATTGGAACAACTTGCCCTTGATCCAAAATGGCATCTTTCAAGATGGCGGTCATGTTCCAGAGTTAGCCTGTTTCCCCACCCTGGTCCTCAAGGCGCATCGCCCTGCAAGTTTTCCAGTGTTCCCTGTTTTTCACTAAAGGAAATAAAGGTTCTTCAGTCCCATTTACATAGTAATACTATGATTATGGTTAAAAATCTGGTGACATAATGTTGACGAGTGACAGTTAAGTGGTCTCATGGGTTGGGATAAAGCCTGAAAGCTGCAAGTAGAGAATTGATCTCTTCAAGAGGTTAAGTTCTTCAAGTTTACTTGTGGTGCATCAGTATAAATCAGGTGTGCTGGACAGCAGCCTACGAGGCCCAGTTTGAGATTCCGTCCATTATACAATATCAATCACATTAATGATAATCAATTTCTGCCATAAAGAAATATATTAGACTATATAGCAGGCGCTAACATTGTAATCAGGCCATTTAAAACCCAGGTGTTTTTCAAAACACTTGTCTTTGTTTCAACAAATCGTAACTCTTATACCAACATAAGATTTTTAAAAAGTAGGTTGTTTAAATCAAATTGAACACTAGATAAGGAATGAAAACAAGCGGCTTTAGCGACTAAATTTTAAATCTGACTGACAGTCAAAAACTATAAGGAGCTTCTCTTCTGTTTTTTTTTATTGATTATTATTTTGAAAACCTTCACCGGAAAACGAACCCTAGCCTGGTTTCTCTGCAGGATCTGTGAATGGATGCTCGTTTTGTTCACCCACACGTCTCGTTGAGCCCGTTATAGCTCATTCACACAGACCTACGCACACTCGTTTTTCGCTTCGAATAAAGCCATTCTTGGATTTTGCAGAACTGGAATCAAAGTCTTCATATCGACGATTAAATAACTATAATCTAGATTTGGTCCTACTTACGCAACGGTCCCCGTTTCGGCCCAGAGAGGTCTCAGCATCTTCTGGCAGACGGAGTTCACATCCAGCCAACACTGGTAGTTTTACAAGGGAGCGCCTGCTCACATTCACCGTAAAGCCCCGGTGGCCCGGGCGGTGTTGTGCCCTCCCCCTGAGCAACAATGGGAGAAGTTTGTGAGGAGAAGAGCACGGAGCCGTGGCTGTTTTTTATCTGGCGGAGCTGCAACGCCCTGATGTCTCTGTTCTTTGCTCTGGCCTCATATGTTCAGGTTGGTTTTTGACTTGTAACCGCCTCGATTTCGGCTGTTTTCCCCACGTTTGCACCTCTTTGAATTTGGGGTCAGTAACGGCGTCTCCCCTCTGCAGATCAATGATCCAGACGCAGGATTATGGATGGTGAGATGAAGTGCATTTTGTTGTCTCTGTTTTTCCTCTTTTGGGAATGCGGGTGCATGATAATATTATTAATAATGTTAATAATCCAGGTGGGTTATGGAGTCCCTGCTCTCCTGTGTGCGTTAATTGGCTTTCAACCCAGTGTGACAGGTAAGATGAAAAGTTTTGAGTTTGTATTTGTCAACATATAGTCAGGTAAGAAAGTAAATCTCCAACAGGGACGGAACTAACAAACCCTCCGTGGAGGAATAGTGACCACAGTGACTTGGTGACCGACTGAGCTCTTTCCTGTTTTTGGACCTTTGGACAGCAGCTGAACTTCCTGCTGGTTGCGCCTCCTCTGGGTGATTTGTGTTGTGTTGTGGGGCTCCTGTCTGCAGAAACGTTGCCCTGGAGGCGCGGGGCTGACCTCCATGTCCTGATCTCCACTGCAGTTATATCCACCTTAGGGTGGCGACTTTACAAAGAGGGGGTCACCAACGTCTTCCAGCAGGAGGAGGGCAGGTAGGCCTGGAGCCAACCTATTTCTGTTTTCTAGATTAATCATAAATGATTCTTTACATTTGTTAGATTTCCAACAATATATATTTGCTTTTGGAAATATTTCTATGAAGAACTGTGCACAGATTCTGTTCCTGTTTTTCATTTTAAGAGACATTTTAAGGGACATTTTTCTTATAGAAGTCACTTAACTGGCTTTCAATGTTGTCAAGATTAATCAAAAATTATTCTTTACATTTGTTAGATTTCCAACAATATATATTTGCTTTTTGGAATATTTGTATAAAGAACTGTGCACAGATTCTGTTCCTGTTTTTCATTTTAAGAGACATTTTAAGGGACATTTTTCTTATAGAAGCCACTAAACTGGCTTCTCATGTTTTCAAGATTAATCATAAATTGTTCTTTACATTTGTTAGATTTCCACATTTGCTTTTGGAAATATTTGTCTAAGAATTGTGCACAGATTCTGTTCCTGTTTTTCAATCCAGACCATTTTAATAGACATTTTTTATATCAAAGCCACTTAACTGGCCTTTAATGTTTTCAAGATTAATCATAAATTATTCTTTACATTTGTTAGATTTCCAACAATATATATTTGCTTTTGGAAATATTTGTATAAAGAACTGTGCACATATTCTGTTCCTGTTTTTCAATCCAGACCATTTTAATAGACATTTTTTATATCAAAGCCACTTAACTGGCCTTTAATGTTTTCAAGAATAATCATAAACAATTATTTACATTTGTTAGATTTCCAAAAGTATATATTTGCTTTTGGAAATATTTGTAGAAAGAACTGTGCACAGATTCTGTTTCTCTTTTTCAATCCAGACCATTTTAATAGACATTTTTCTAATAGAAGCCACTTAACTCTGACCTACAAATCATTCAAACAGAAATAAGACTTCTGACTGAAGGGATGGACCAGTGTAATGTCTACAAAGAAAGAAAACTGAGCAAAGACTTGGATCAATCTTGAGCGATAGATAATAAAGATGAATATTCAGAATTATAAAACAGCACTGAGAAGTTGGAGGGAGCACAAGAAAAGTTAAATATTATGACATGAAAAATGTTATGATGATTATGGCGTAAATCCCTCTGTGAAAAATAAAGAAATCATAAGAGTACTGTCTATAAATAAATGTTAAACTGATTTAGTTTTAAGGATATTTGTTATGTCCATCAAAACATTGTTCCTCCTTTCAGAGAATTTTCTGGTCTGACGTTGACGGCTGTTTGGCTTCTGCTTTGCCGCCACTCTGGAAGGTGATCATCATTTATTTGTGCCAATAAATAAATTTAAATCTTTAGAGAAACTTAATCTTTAATTTCTACATGTTTGTCCTCAATCAGGGCTCCCGTTGGGATGCTGAGGGTCTCTACGGCTGTTGCCATTACAGCGTTCCCCTTTGTGGCCTGGCTTTATTTCTACATCAACAAAGAGCTGAGATCAAATTGGCCCTCGCATTGCAAAACGGCCATTTGAACATCCATATCTCTCATATTAAGTCTGAAGAAACTCCTGAATGATAGAAAAATATTGCTTTGTTTATAAGAGATAATGTGCACTTAAATGTTTTGTATAATGCCTCCGAATCAGAATAAGAAAGTGTAAATAATTACATTAAAAAATAATAAAAGGAATCGTGAGAGCCTCGTTTGCTGTTGTCTTTGTAGTACCAGTTCCCTCCTTTGGGGGGAAGCAGAGAGCACGTGGTTTAATTTGATAATAGAAGAAGAGATTTGTGACGTAATTTCCGTGTTAAATAACATGTCTACCTAGCTGATCTAAGATCAGCGGTTTGAACGTAAAAATTGGGAGTTGTAAAGCGTTTTGGTTTGTAAAACTGACCGGAGATCAGTAGGTTTTTTTCTACTCCGGTTTCTCGCTTTATGAAACTCGTAACCGCTTCCTGGTTGCAGCAGCGGTTCTGTCAAGGTCCGAGTGAAACATGGCTCTGAGTGTTTTCCGTCACAGCCTGGGCTGCCGGTTGTTGAACAGCAAAGTTTTGCGGAACCAGGCCGTCGGCCTTACCCACAGCCTCACGCGGGGGGAGGCCGGGCCCGGGCACGCGCTGACACCGCACGGGCTGCACTGCTACCTGGTAGGTCAAAGCTCTTTAGCGGCACCGGATTCTATCCAGAAATGGGACCATTTAAAGTTGTCACAGGTTTAAAATGCGCTACAAGCGGTATGTTAAGTTTTTAGTGGGTGTAAGTGTAGTTACGGACACCACTAAACAATTCGGCATCACATGAAAGCACTTTGAATGGCATTGTACCAGCGTTATAGTTATTTTTTTGTCCTAAATATGCAAAGAATAACCGTTTCTTTTCCCCTGTGCTCGGTCAGAGACAGGTGAACGTGAGTCAGTGTCACACGGGCAGAACAACACAATGGCTGAGTCCACAGCACCCCAGAGGACTTTCCTCATTGCCTCCTCCCCCAGCATCAGAGGACAAGCCCAAGAAGTCCGGGGTGAGTCTCACTGGTTCTCCTGACCCCATCTAACCTCATTTAATCATAGTCTTTCTTTTCTTTCTTTTTTAAACTTGAAACCAAACATTATGACTTCCAAGTCCACTGTGATTTAGTGTGAGCAAAGTGGACCACACTTTGGAAAAGAACTGATCAGAATTTTTTTTTTAAATGACCTAAAATCTGAATTTATGTGACACAAGTTTGTATTTGTACATAGAAAAACTTGTTGGAATGATAAAGAGAACACGGCTGAAAGCTTTTCTTTTTTAATCTTGGACAATTTAAGAAGCTTTGTTGTTTAATTTGTGTCTATCTTCTCTTTCATAGCCCGTTACGTGGAAATCGTTAGCCATAACCTTTGCTATGGGAGGCGCCTTGCTGGGAGGGATGAAGTATTTCAAGAAAGAAAAGGAGGAACGTAAGTGTTTGACAGAGGGAGGGGGGGGGAGGCTGATCTTTCTGTGTTACGGTTTGGGACGGACGCTCAGCTCCCTCCCTGCTTTGCAGTGATTGAAAAAGAGCGGAACAAGTCCATCGGGAAGCCGGCGCTGGGCGGCCCCTTCTCGCTGGTCGACCACAACAACAAACCGGCCACCAGCGAGGACTTCTTTGGCCGGTGGATCCTCATCTACTTCGGGTTCACGCACTGCCCCGACATCTGCCCGGACGAGATCGAGAAAATGATCGAAGTGGTGGACGAAATCGGTAACCTGACTTTGCATTTTAGCCCAAAACGCTGGTACAGAATCTGAGAATGTCTGAGTTCAGTTAGCGTAAAAGCTGCTGTTTGTTTGGCTCTCCGCAGACAAAATCAAGTCTCTTCCGGACCTGACGCCCATCCTCATCACCATCGATCCGGACAGGGACACCCCAGAGGCCATGGCTACATATGTGAAGGGTACAGAATAAAAAAATATATACTGTGTGTTACATCAACTAAAATAGTGTTTCATTAGTGGAGGAAAATCCAGAAAAATGCTAAGAAACGTCCAGATAAACTGCACAGTTCGTTCTTATTCTGTTTGATTTCACAAGTCGTTCTTTTTCTTTACGTATTTATTCCTTTTTATAGATTTTATTGACTTTTCGTTTTGGTGTTTTTGTTCTTGAGGGAGAATCAGATCTCAAGTCAAGTAGGCTTTATTGTCAATTTCTTTACATTCGCTGGTCAAACAAAGAATTGAAATTGCGTTTCTTACTTTCCCGTGCAGACATAGACATAGACTTTAGGTGTGGACATAGACAGTTAGACAAAGACAGTACACATACATCACATACACCTAGAGTACCTATACTATACCATACAGAGATATAAAGTGCAAGACTGGGCAACAGCAGACATACATTGAACATAAGAAAGAGGTATTGTTGTGCATTTCCAGTTATGTCCTATTTTAAAGATTCTGAAAGTGATAGTAGCATTGTAGATTGTAGATCTGTGGTTAAACCTAAAAACCAATAGAAGTGTGGAGGACGGCTGGACGTAACCGAGTGTTATTGGCCAGTTCGTTCGGTCATGAACAGGCCAGGTCCTAATTCATGCAGGTTTAGGTGGAATGTGATAAGAAAGTGTGGATGTTGACCTTAAAGACGAGTATATACTGTAACAGAGAGAGGAGGAGGAGGCACAGCCAGAGAGTTTAACCCAAAAGTATAATTATAAAGGGGATAATATGAATCTAAAAAGGAATAAGACAATCAGTCATTTACATGGATTAAGTTATAGCATACTATGCTAACGTGAGTAATCATAGCCCGATTCTAACATGCCGATTGGCCCTTTCAGAGTTTTCTCCGAAGCTGATTGGTCTGACGGGGAAATCGGCCCAGATCGACGAGGTGTCCCGAGCCTACAGGGTCTACTACAGTCAGGGGCCCAAAGACGAGGACAACGACTACATCGTGAGTCCCGACTATTGGCGACTGATCAACAAACTTTTAGGTCGCCGAGCAGCTGATTAACTAACAACCCAGACGCGCTAGATGTTCAAAACACCAGTCCAAAGCCTTCGTGTTATCGCTTTATTTAATCTTCAGGTATCCAACATTAAAACACGTCACTGAAGCAGTTCATAGGCCTCCATAATCCACAAGCGGTAATCCAGAGTGAACGTTCACAGCAAACTTAACTCATTGGCTGCCAAAGACGTCTATAGACGTCTTTATTGTTTTTCAACGCGAGTGGCTGGGGGACGATCTGCTAAAGCTTGTCCGTAAATATCGGCTTCTAGACAGAGTATGTAGTAACAAATTGACCCTCTAGGGGGCAGTGCCACTTTTGATGGGAGATGAGCATAGACTGTAAGCAAATAAGAAAAAGGTAACGGTTCGCTATGAGAGAACATGTCGCCGGTGAGACGCAAGTCCAGGAAGAACGGAATAAGGTAAAAACAAATTCTTTTTCCTGATGAAAGAAGAGAGTCTACTCTTTCTTTTGGTGTGTTCGGTGTTTACATAGTCATAGCACAAACTATTCTGTGGCTCTTGAAAAATCAGTCAAAATGCTCCAAAAACTCTGTCAGTATGGGACTCTCTGTTCTGAAAATGGCTGGCAGTCAATGAGTTAATTAGATTATTTGTAAAAGCATAAGGCGTAAAGCGGTCAGCAAAAAGTAGGCAAGTAGGCTTGCGAGTGAACAGGTGATATTTCAAATGCCACCGACTGGTGGCGTAATCATGTAATAATTCCTTATGACTAGATTTTGTATATAATTTTGTATAATGAAGTGGACATGTTAGGAGCAATTTGAAAGAAGAAATATGATAAAAATACATTTTTGTGTTTATTTGATTCCTATTCAAGACACTTAAGATAAGATAAGAATAACTATAGTGTTACTATAGGCGGCAACAGATTTGTTTAACATTTTTGGTTGTTGTTTGTGCCTCGTGATTTTTTCCATGAAAAAATGTACCTTGGCTGAAAAAAGGTGGACTGCACTACGGCGACCTGCTGCTTTTCCGCCCCGTATCCCAGAAGGCCAGGCTAAAAAAAACCCTCCCTCTGTGTCCTCCTCCAGGTGGATCACACCATCATCATGTACCTGGTGGGGCCTGATGGAGAGTTCGTGGAGTACTTCGGACAGAACAAAAGAAGCTCGGAGATCTCCGCCTCCATAGCCGCACACATGAGGAAGTACAAGAAGAAGTGAGCCCCCCCCCCCCCCCCCCCCC